ACTGATATGATATGTAACTCGAAAAAAAAAAGATCACATTGAAACACGGGTTCTCGCATGATCACTGAAGTTAAGCACCGCCGAGCCGGGTCACTATCTTTATGGGTGACAGCTTGAGAATACTAGGTTTGGATGTGCGGTTAGTAAAACTGATAACAGCTCGGAATTATTAATCGGAAAGAGATTTTTCCAATTCCAGTCGGGTTAGTTATATTTAATTACACGCAAGTACCACTGGGAAATGTGTGATTTCACCTCTTCTCTCTCCAGCCTATGGGTTAAATAATAGGATTTGTATCACTAAATCAATATTTCCAAAACCATTTTAGAATCTAAAAACATTTTCTGGCTATAAATATCCTGGCAAGAGCACATATAAGGAATATAAGCCGTAAAAAATCAATCAATAAGAACTAATCCTTGGCGAAATTAATACTATATAGCTAAAGAAAGGGATGTTTAGAATTTGACGATGATCCTGGTCTCTGTTTTTTTTAACATATCGATTAGTCTTTAGTAGAGATATCTTATTGTGCCTAACTTGATGAGAAGTAAGAATGTACCTGAAAACCATAGTACATATTTTTTCAATATTATCATCGGTTTCAAAAACCATTGGTGGTCTTGAAACATATTTCCCGAGGAGAAATGTGAACTATTGTATTAATAATTTTTTCATGAGATAAATATACGGTGACAGTAGGTGTTCAGTGCATAGAATAAACTTATTTAAATCAGAACATGTCACGGCAGTACATTTAGCTAGTGCATAAAAAAAGATGGCCGCCAGCATTTTAATGGCATAATGAAGTATGTTCACTTTTGACAAGAAGCTATTTGATATCCGAAAAATACGACAAATACCTGCTAGGTTTTGCTAATCAACGAAATTTTAGTAAAACCCAGTCCAAAGAAATAAAATAAAATAATATTTTTTAAAAAAATAACAGAGAATACTAATTCTACAGCTATCGAGGCGGTTAAAATCAAGAGACACTACGACGATTCGTGTACATCAGAATGAAACTTCCACGGGATAATGTTTTGGATCCTAGAAAATAGTGCTTCTTTAGATATAGTCATATAAAACCCCTTCGCCATTACAATTATCATTAATAGATTATAATTTGCGGAATTGGAAGATTTCACGATTTACAAAAAGGAGATTTTATGTAGTAAGATTTTTTTCAATAAAAGCAGTACTCAATGAGATGACAAACAACTGCATACAATAAAAGTATAAATATATATACAGGGGTCCATATATATATATATATATATATATATATATATATATATATATATATATATATATATATATATATATATATATATATATATATATATATATATATATATATATATATATATATATATATATATATATATATATATATATATATATATATATATATATATATATATATATATATATATATATATATATATATATATATATATATATATATATATATATATGTATATGAATATATATATATATGTATATGAATATATATATATGTATATGAATATATATATATATATGTATATGAATATGAATATATATATGTATATGAATATATATATATGTATATGAATATATATATGAATATATATATATATATATATATATATATGAATATATATACATATATATATGAATATATATATATATATATATATATATATGAATATATAAAGGAGGTCCATATATATATATATATATATATATATATGTGTGTGTATATATGAATACATATATATACATATATATATATATATATATATATATATATATATATATATATATATATATATATATATATATATATATAAAGAAGGAACAGTAAGATATATAATCCGGTGTTCTTATAGATATTTTTATTTTTACAAAATAGTGCTCAATGTAAATTTACAGAGCATTAATATTATAAATTAATTGATTTAAAATATGTTTTTTTTCGCTACACAGTTCTAACCATGTTTCAAAAATGGAAGCTAAAAGCTACGAATTTAATTTTGTAATTAAATTAAAGACATTAGTTCCATTTCATTCTCAAGCGAATTTTGGAGTAACTTTTAAAATTACTGGGTTTTAAAGACACAGCTAAAATCATAATTCAGGTTTCCAAGGTTACAGATAAATCTACTTCAAGGAGACAAGGGGTGTCTGGGTGTTCATTTTGTCTGTATTTTGATGTATCAGTTATTAGCTACGTTTTGGTGGGGGGTAGGGATGTATTTTTCAATGAAATCTGACATCCGTTGAATGCATGTCGTCTGGATTTTTTAAAAATTTATTGTTAACAGCAAAAATTCTTACAGCATTTTTTTTTCTATTTGTATATTTAAAGATTTTGGGGGTGGGGGTGTTTATGTTAGAATACTTTTTATTTAACTACGATTTGAAATATTTTAATTTTTAATTTTTAATATACCATATTTTTTTAAAGAACAATTAAATGTATTAGAATCCCTTATAGTATGTAGAATTATTTTAACATCAAGTATAAGTATGTATATTAGGTTACAAAATTTTATATTTTTTTAAATATTATTTAAGTAAAATTTATGACAATGACGGCAAAAATAGTTACTTAATTTCACTGATTTAGTAAACTTTTATTTTTTATATAAACCTAGTAATATATTGATTCTCATGTAAGTACAAAGGACATGGGTCATTCAAAAGCTTACATCTTCTATCATTTCATATTAATTTTATTTTACTGTAGGTGTTTTATTGGATTCTTTTATGTGCGTGTAGTACTAAGTAAAATAATTTTAAGTTAGAATTAATTTTATTTAACTACAATTTTAATTACAACTTTAAAATATTTTTATTGTTAGTTTTAATAGACTATATTAGTTTATAATAAAAGGAAATGTATTAGAATTACTTATAGTAAGTAAAATTATTTTTCCATATCAAGTATATGTATATTACGATTTTTAAACTTTTATATTTAAATATTATTTAATATTATTTTATATTTAAATATTTTACTTAAATATTACTTAAATAATATTTAAATATAGATAAAGTACACTTGAGAGAGATATAAAATTAACCCCTCCCTATACTCTACCACGTCTCTTTAACTATCCCTCTCACACACCCTGTTAAATTACAAAAACTTACACTACCCATCAATTTCATTTTTCGTTTCATTTCGTTGTTGGAAGAGCTATCCGATGATCCGGCGTCCTTTTAAAAGGACTCTGGTGAAATAAATTATTGTAATGGTACCTTAAAGTGGTCTGTTTTTCTTTTAAATATTAGCTCTGGATTTACATTGAGCTCTCAGGATTTCATCCTCCTTGGGATTATCCATACGGATTACCAAGTTCTTCATAAATATATATATATATATATATATATATATATATATATATATAAACGTGAACATAGAAGTCAACACTTGAGGGCGACAGTCTGTTTCGTGCTATATGCAATCGTCAGGCCTGACGATTGCATCCATGAAAGTTCTATGTGTTGACTTCTATGTTCACTTTATATTTACACACGCTCTATCTCTGATATTGAGCACTTTATCACATAAATATAGCACATCATAAAACTATATTTCTTCATATATATATATATATATATATATATATATATATATGTGTATCTGGTTTCCATAAAGTCCCTTAATAATTACGAAAAACTAAAACAAGAGCATATGAACAGATAAATATGAAGAAATTGTTAAAAATGCGGAGTAGTTTAAAAAAATAATAATAATTTAATCACGCCTCTGTATGAGCACAAGTATTTGCCCGATCATATCAAGACGTAACTCGATTCCTTACCATGTTTTCCTATAGCTTAGCCTCATCAGTGGTGGTAATGGCATAAGTGATGATTTTCTTTAGATCAGTGATGTCCCGTATCATTGTTCGACACACGCCCTTGAACGTAACTCCTTAGAAAGAAGTCCAAAGAAGTAATATATAGGGAATTAGGTGGCCAGATATTTGGACCATCCCTTCCATTCCACCGGTCTGGATGTGTTTGATTAAAGAGCCCACGAACATGCAGTCCCCAATATGGTGGTCAGCTATCTTGATAGAACATATAGTTGTAGTGCCACATGAATTGCCTACTTTAGATTTTAAAGAGACTTTATGGACATCCTGTATAATTTATTTATCGAAGATGTCGTTTTGTGTTATTCGCGCTAATGTTAAAACTGGCGTCTATTCTTAAAACGTCTAGTCTTAAAATTCTTTTTACAGTGTATAAATAAATAAATAAAATAAAATAAAAATGAATTAATATCCTAATTCTGTTAGCAATTCTATGAGATATCGTTGTTTTTCTACCACATAGTATAGATGTGTCGGTTCTAAATTCAATTAGAAGTGGATCTTCTCGATGAAGACTTCCCATACAAGATTGCTTTAACACCCGTCTGCCATGAAAACTCATTAAATATATTCGATTTCGTAAGACTGGCATATTCAGCCCAGATTTCCGTGTGCTCGTTTCTCGTACGACAACCTGTCTTTCAACGTTTTGACAAAAGCTAACAGAAGCCGATTTGAAGTGGTAATAAATTTTTTTTGATCGAGCCGTTATTCATTACCTCAGCCACACATCCTAGTCAAATCGCGACCTTTCCAAATACGTCAGGAATAGCAACGAATACGTTCAGAAATCTCTAAACTGACAACGTCATATATTCTTGGCGAAGTGCACACTTCTTCCAACCACCTGATCTTGTGTTGAATAAACACAAAGATCTTTAACAAATAACAGAAACCACATCACTTGACCTCTTTGAAAAGTTGCAATAAGTAAAATTAAATTGATTTTTTCCACGGTTTAATGTGCAGATAATAATGGTTTAGTGATATAGGTCTTACTAATTAACCCATAGATGGGGGAGAAGAGTTGGATACGTTTCTTATAAGTGAATATAACGTACCAAAATGGAATTCGATTTAGGCTCTCCGATGACCAATTCTAATATCCACAACCGACACATGTATACTTACAGCACCTAGTATTCTCAAGCAGTTACCCATCTAGGTACTGACCAGGCTTGACATTACTTACCTTCGATGATCGTATAAGAACAGGTGTTTCAACGAGGTGTTGCCTTAAGCCAAGTCGAATTACGTGGCACATGTAACACGGAGTGTAAATTATGACATTACCTCGAACAAAATTGTAGGTAAAAAATCTCCATATAACAGATAACAGCGAAAATGTTTTGAGTAATTGTTTTAATTGAAATATGTTTAACTTTCTACTGACATTAGCACTGGCTGATGAGGCAATGGATCCTGAAGGTCTCATTATAAAGGAACGGTTAAAATTGGCGATATCATTACCATTTCATGGGAAATATTCTACAACATTGTTTTCGATTATTGGAGATCTCTATCTATAAAAGGCATGATGTGTGTGTGTGTGTGTAACGAATGCACGACCATAATTTTCGACGGATTTGCACCAAAATTAACATGCACATGGTAATGGGAAGGCCAAAACCGACTTTGCATTTCCCAACTCCCATCGATAGTGGAAATAATCGATTTTTTCATGCTTCTACGGCAGTTTTCATGTACTTTGCGGCCATTTTGTACTGCCACGAATAGGCAGGAAGATTCTATTGGCCAGCGTGAGAGCCAACAGCTGACTGACACGAATGTTAACTAGCATGCTAGCATGCAAAAAATCGATAGCTGCATTCGTCACAAATGGGAAAAAATTTAATCTGCATAGCACTTTACTCCAATTGGCTCATTCGCTTGCTTAAACTCAACGTTGATTCTGAGTCTGCAGAACTGGATTGGGTGTGAAAATGTATTTGTTGTTAACATTCTTTTTTCATTCGGTTTTTCCAGTTGCGAGTCCTTTTTTAAAGCTGATCGTTTTGTGTTCATTTTGTTTAGTTCTTTTTTCGTAACAGATTTAATGTTTAATATAGAGCTTAGAAAAAATTCGCAGTGTGAGATAGGCAAGGAGTAAGGCATGTAGCAACAACAGCACGGAAAAGGGCACTCCTTTAAAGGCAAGGAAGGGAAAAAATATTTTAAGTCAAGTGATAACGATTGCTGTATGAGTCGTACGATTTTTGAATCAAGCACGGGCAACGCCTGGCCATGCTGCTAATAACAGATATTTCCTATGTTAGAACGCAATTGCATTTATGTTGCTTGCACAAAAAATGCCAGTATCGACCTGTTTAATGAAGTGCATTTGAATCTCTACTGATATACAACAGATGCATGATAAACGGGTCGTGGCGAAGTAGTATTGTCTCCTGTCCTGATTGAGTTTTTTTTTTTCCGGTGCCTCGGTTACATAATTTTAAGGGGGCTACTAGATTGATATTATAGTCTACTATTATTATTGTTATCAAAGTAATAAGTAAAAACCATCATAATTATTTGATAACAAACTGTTCATCCTGACATTAAGTGTTAAATTATATATTGTTGTAACATAGGTAAGGCTACTGAATAATCACACTAAGGTTTGTCATCAGTGATAATACTTAGGACAAGACCAACACATATAAGATTCGCCAGCGGCGCATAGAAAAAGTAATCAACTGCTAAGAGTCAAGTGAATTTCACAATTAATCTCTAACTGCAGACCAACATACAGTATTTACTACCGTATTTACGTGAATGGGACATACCCATTATCGTCTGTAGGTATGTTACAACACACACACACACACACATATATATATATATATATATATATATATATATATATATATATATATATATATATATATCGTTCCTTGACATTGTACAGGGCTTAGCTGTCTCAGGGATACAAAAGAGCGAAGTCATCTGGAATTCAAACATCTGTAGAGCGATAGGGTCGAAAAGAAAGGAGCAGAAAAGTGAATGCGGAAAACCCCGAAGACCCCAACAGTGGAATAGGCAAATATCTACACGATCTCAAAGGCTATAGCGGAGGAACAGGGCAATGTCATTCGGGCTGCCGTAACCATGGCGCACCTTGGCAGACCAAGCATCGGACAGCCTGATACAACGAAGTTGACCTGATCTCGCCCATTTCAATCTTTGAGCCAGAAGGGAGGCGCTTCTGGCTAAGTGAGTTGTACATAAAAATCGACCTTAGGCGAATGACATCGTCAAATTCTGTTTGACTTGCTACCATCTCCACCACCGCCATCGGTGAAAAGAAAAGCAATAGGAAAAGATGATGACGATCTCAATGCTCGGAAGCGATCGGGTGCCGACAACAAGATTGTCAACTCGGACTCACTGTTTAACTACCTTGGAAGAGACCTCTTCTACTTTAGCAGTTTCTTTTCTGACCCATGAATCTCCCTTCCGAATTTCTGCTTCCCCGAAAACTACCGGATAGTAGGTAAGTCTTGTCACCCCCCGCCAAATAATATAATTTTCTATTTCAGATAGCTGACGGGAGCATCTACAGACCTTCTTGATTTATGACAGCGTCAATGAAAGTGATTAAACTTCATCCAGGATATGTTCTTTGTATTACTGCTTTAATTATTCTATTCTTCTCATTACTGTTTTGTAGGCGGTGACAAGACTTTCAGACCAGCTTGTACAATGTTCAACAATTTAAACGTCAACCGTCATACTTAACAAATAAGTAATATAAAAATAAAAATCTGCCTATATTTCTGATATGAGGAATTATGTACACTATTTACATTATTCGAATTCATGTCCTCATCTTTGTCGCCATATTTATTACAACGGTTCGACGTTATACACTCCGGCTTTCTTCAGGTGATTGGAATGTCGAACTGAACCCTTTATTTTGCTCACTCGGGTAGACTGTTCTAGTTCCACGTGCCATTCTAACAGTCATGTACACAAAAACATGCATATTCACAAAAGCTAAGTATCATCTACCATGAATTCAATTGTGAAAGCAGAATAACATATATCATACTTTTATTACTTCATTCCCCTAAGAAAATTACGTTAAGACATTAAATGACCCACAAGTTGTTGATAAGCCGTTAAACAGACAAATCATCCAATCAACCAATGAAAATTAAGAAGAAATATTCTTGAGGACGAGTATAACAGACTATAGCAATCAAGAAGAGCGTGCTCTTTCAAACAGAATAGCATAAAATACTGGTAAGTCTATATTTCGAAATTTCAGCTGCAAATACATTAGATACCTAAAAAAGCGGGCCACAATGTAGAATTGCTGAGATATTACAAGTAAAACAACCAAAGTATGCTCGCAGCACTGAATTAAAATTCAGACACTACACACCTAGAAAAGACCAGTAGTTTCAACGGCTGTAACATTACGAACATAACATTAAAAATCCGTATGGTGGCCAGAATAGAAAAGCATATAATAATGATAAATCCTCCTGTCACAATTTCGTATTAAACAGAACAGACATCTGAAGAAGGTCGGAGAATAAAACGGGCAAAAATGTTATGAATAATGTCTAATGGATGTCAGTTATCAGTTATCTCCTGTCAATCACTCTCTCTAAGTTCTCCACTGCCTTGACCGGGTATTGAACTCACACTCTTTTGAGTCCTGTAACTGGCTCTAAATAACGCCTTAATTCACAGTGCCATGGACACAAAAGGGTGTGAGTTCAATACCCGGTTAAAGCAGTGGAGAACTTGGGGAGGGGAATCAACAGGAGATAACTGATAACTGACATCCAACAAACATGGCACGTGGAGCTAGAACAGTCTACCCAAGTGAGCGAAATATAGGGTTCAGTTCGACATTCCAACCACCTGAAGAAGGCCGGAACGTACAACGGCCGAAGCGTTGTAATAAATATGGCGACAAAGATGAGTACAATAGTCCGAATAATGTAAATAGTGTACATAATACATCATCTCAGAAATATAGACAGATTTCTATTTTTATTTTTATATTACTTAAAACTTGCATTTGTTAAGTATTTTCTCTAATTTTTCGGACAGTTTATTCATTACTTCTGCCAACATTTATTTATCTTCAGCAATAAATGCTGTAGGTGATTTTCAAAATCACCAACGGCAATTCTATTTTTTTCCTCAACCGATACAAATGGCAATGAAAATGTCAAACATCAGGTGAATAAAACACCTCCAGAAAGCATGCAACTTAGTCACCAGAAAACGCGATTTAGATTTAACCTTTTATACTTATGCTTTCTCAATACAAACCCCAAGAGCCACTCAATGTAGAGGGTTGCATTGTGTTGTTTTATGAATGTGTTGTTTTATGAGTGTAAACAAGTGTAGTTCATGAGGTTATGGGGGAAAAATAACGGCTAGCTCTATACTTGAAGAGATCAAAATTCTAGTGATAGAGAAAAATATCCCGCTGGGGTCTATTTCTATGTGTTCTTGAAAAGAAGCTGTCCGTGTAGAACTTCTTGCTAATAGAATATGATGCGAATGTTTTGAGATTTTAGCGGCGTATTATAGTCTATGGATTATTTAATGCCAGAATCTAAATATTTTGAACGCTGTTTTGTGGCTTCAACTACGGATAAAATGTATTGTTAGTCATTTTGCTATAAAATGTATTCTTGGTAATTCTGTTTAAAAATGAATTGATGGTAATTCTAATATAAATATGTGTTGTTGGTAATTTTTGTTATATATGATAATATGTTGCCGGTAGTTTTAATAAAAAAAAATGCATTTTTGTACTTTCGTAGTTTTCTGAAGGTTCACTATTTGGCAATAGTTGGTACCTGACAGGTGCTAACACCCGGGGTCTGGGTGAACCGAGGAACAATAGCAATTAAGTGTTGGTCTTACGCTCCTCAAACCTACATTTTCCCGATCAGAGGCCTTGCAGCCGGAAGGAAGGGAATGGAGATAATTCATCATTCTGTACGTGGCATTGGTGGGCCCTAGCTGTAAAGGTCAGGACTGGTTAAACTGAGAAATGTAGCACATCAAAATACTTACCATGGGATTATTGACAGAGTAGCGAGAAGCTTGCAACAATCCAATTATACGGTACATCTCGTCATGAATTACAAAAGCGGTTCATTGATTACTTGCCTGAGTAGGAGCTTTTTTTTTCGATTCACTCATTAGGTAAACCTTAGAGATATCATCGTATTTCACTCTGGACACAGATACATCATTA